AAAAAACAATAATAAAAATGTTAATAACTGACATTGAGTGCTTAGTTTGTCCCGGGCATCATGCTAGGTACTTCACATAACGACTCATTTGATCCTCACGATTGCTGTGCAGAGTGATTCCTATTTATAAAAACATATTTATTTTAGAGATGGAGTCTTCACTCTGTCACCCAGGCTGGAGTGCAGTGGAACAGCCATAGCTCACTGCAGCCTCAAACTCCTGGGCTCAAGCGATCCTACCACCTTGGCCTCCCAAGTGCTGGGATTGTAGGCGTGAGCCACCGCACCAGGCCAAGTCCCATTTTTATAGAAGAGGAAACTGAAGCACAAGGTGGTAGAACAAATCACCCAAGTTCCAGCTGCCGAGAGGCTGATTAGGGTCGTGGACATAGGCAGTCGGACTCCATAGCCGGCCTTAGGCCAACTCACAATTCTGCCACTTTGTGGAAAGGTCTTGTGGGTAGGCTTTGTGCAATACCTGTATATACTGGCATTCTAAGATAACACTATTCATGTGACTACAAAACCTAGCAAGGATGACAGAGGAAGGTAGTTGACTCTTGTAACAAAGTTGCTTATTGTGAAAAAATTGTTTTGTTTCTATTATAACCTGAAGTTATAAACTAGTTTATAGTCTAGTGAGGGAGATGGAAATTAATTTTTAAAGTTACACGTCAGAAGACCTGGGAAAACTCTCACAAATGAATTGGATATGGGTTCCAAGTGGGAAAAGTCTGCAGTGGGATGGTGCCCGGCTGACACTCCAGGGATGGCGGTCAGCTGTGTGGTGGACGGGAGGATGGAGGGAGATCTTGCAGGATGGCCTGTGTGTGGGCAGAGCACAGTGCTTTCTTGGGAGCTGCAGTCTGGCCCACAAGTGGAGCACGGCGAGATGCAGCGGAGGCTGTGGGCTCCCAACCGTCTCTGGGCTTCCACTCCTTCTCCACCTGCAACTACGTTCCCTTCCCTTCCGTTGTCAGGACTTGGGGTTGGACAGCCTCACATTTAAATCTTGGTATCCTGACATTCAAGGCCTTTTACAAATGGGATCATTCCCCCATTCCAGCCTTGTCCCCAGCATCTCCCCCAGACGCTGGGGGGGGGTTCCCCAACCCAGTTACAAAACACAGCCTCTTGTGACCAGCCGTTGAACTCCTTGGTTCTTGTCTTCTTGCAGTCGAAGAATAAAAGCAAGAGACCATTTTGAAGCAGCAAGCAGCAGCAGCAAAGTTTATTAAGTAAGTGCACCTCCAGGCATGCAGGTGGACTGCCAAGGAAGATTAGCAAGCGACAGTACTCCACAAGTGGGTGGGGTGGGATCGGGCACACATCCCAGTGGACAGTGGCACTGCTGTCTCTGTGTCCTCCCTTTTTCTCATCTGGCTTCTCCTACTTCCTGACCTTCTCTTTTTCTCTTGACCAATGGAGATGTCTCCTTCCTGATGTCTGGCAGGGGCATTTTCAAAGTTAGGCATGGATGTGTGTGTGGTGTTCAAAGCCCATGGGGCTAGGGGATAAACTCTGATTTATAGTATGCCCTGTGTTGTTCCTGTTATGTTTCTTGTGATAGCTGTGATTGCCCTTGTTATTGTTAGTGTGGTCTCTTAATCGGCATCCCATTTGTCCACATTGCATGTTTTTTTCTCTCAAGTCTCGCTTTTCTTATACTAATATTCTGTGACACCTGCTGGCTACCCTAATCTTGCAGTGTTTTCTTGTCAGTATCTCGTTTGTTTACACGGCCTGTTCTGTATCTCCCTTTCATACCTACACTAACACTGTGCTGCCAACTCATGCTGTCCAGTTCAAAAGCCACTGGCAACATGTGGCTTTGAGCACTTGAAATATGGCTTGTCTGAATTGAGATGTGCTGCAAGTGTAAAATACACACTTTTGAAGACAGCATTAAAAAAAGATTGTACAATAACTCAGTACTTTCAGTATATACTATATGTTAAAATAACATTTTATATATAATTGGTTAAATCTATTGTTAAATTTGATTTTTTTTGAGAGAGAGATTCTCGTTCTGTCACCCAGGCTACAGTGCAGTGGTGTTGTCTTGGCTCACTGCAATTTCAAACTCCTGGGCTCAAGCAATCCCCCTGCCTCAGCCTCCAGAGTAGCTGGGACTACAGGTGTGTGCCACCATACCCAACTAGTTTTTTTATTTTTTGTAGAGATGGCATCTTGCTCTTGCTCAGGTTGATCTCGAATTCCTGGCCTCAAGCAATCCTTCTGCCTTGGCCTCCCTGTGTGCTAGGATTACAGGCATGAACCATCAGGGCCAGCCTGATTTTATCTTTTTAAACTCCTTTTTCTTTTTCTTTTTTTTTTTTTTTGAGACAGAGTCTCGCTTTGTTGCCCAGGCTAGAGTGAGTGCCGTGGCGTCAGCCTAGCTCACAGCAACCTCAAACTCCTGGGCTCAAGTGATCCTCCTGCCTCAGCCTCCCAAGTAGCTGGGACTACAGGCATGCACCACCATGCCCGGCTAATTTTT